CCCCCCCCCCCCTCCCCCCTCCTTCACAAGTAGGTTAGCCATTTGCCCGACGCCCTTCTCACACCCAAGCATGATGCCGCCTTCCGCGCCCGGCCGACAGATTGCCCTGCACTTTGTCCGCGATGAGGTGACCCGCTTTAACCTGGCCCTCGAGTGCGGGAACCTGCCCCTGGCTCGCGAGATGGCTGTCCTGCTGGATCGCGGTGACACCTGGCTCAAGCTGGCCGACGAGGCCATCATGATGGGCAACGTGCGCATCGCCGAGTCGGCCCTGCGGCGGTCACGCACGGCTGCGCACCCCTCGACAGCGGCGGCCCTGTCCGCCGGCCAGGATCGCCTGACCCTGCTGAATCTCATCACCGGCGAGCACCAGAAGCTGACCGCCGTGCCGGACAACCCGATGCTTAGGTGTGTGCTGTCATGTGGCTTTGCTCGGCGGGGTTCCCGACCTGCTTCTCTCCCTCTCTCCCTCTCTCCCTCTCTTTCTTTTTTTCTCTCCCCCCCCTCTCCCCCTCTCTCTTTCTCTCCCCCCCCCTCTCCCTACCCATCCCCCTCTTTCCTCAGACCTGATATCCTCCCACTAATCCCCCCCCCTGCCATCCCAACCCGATACACATCAGCTACAACAATGCCCTCTTCACCGGCAACGTCGAGGAGCAGGTTCGCGCACTCCGCGACTCCGGCCAGCTCCCCCTGGCCTACATGACCGCCAAGAGCCGCGGCCTGGATGCCCTGGCCGAGGAAATCCTCCTGTCGTCGGGGCTGGTGCCGCCGGCCGCCGACCCGGAGACCGGTGCCCCGGTCCCGGTGACCACCATGACCCCGGAGCTGCACCAGCACCTGGCCGGGATCCTGTCCCCGGCGCTGGCCCACCCGGCCCCGGTGGCCAAGACCCTGGAGGTGGCCCCCCAGCCGCTGGTGGACCTGGAGGACCCGAACTGGCCGGTGTCGGCTGACGCCGGCCCCGAGGGCGGGTCCTTCCCGGCGGCGCCGGCCGCCACGTCGACCGCTTCGGCCCCGGTTTCGGCCGGGCTGGATTTCGACTTCGACGAGCCCAAGCACCCGGGCACCGGCGGCTCGGCCAGCATCGGGGCCGCCCCGCCCACCTATCCCGGGGAGGATGTGTCCTTCGGCGGCCTGGATCAGGCCACCTCGGGCACGGCTGCCGGGACGACGACGGGGGCGCCTGGTGGCGGTGCGGCGACCACCGTCGCCGCCCCCTCGGGCGACTGGCTGTCCGATGACGGGCTGGATGATCTGGGCCTCGATGACGACCTGGGCCTGGAGGATGCCATGGGCGGTGGCGACATCGGGGGACCGGCCGGGGCCCGGGTTGGCGGTGGCCCTGGCGCGCCGCCGGCCTCGGAGCTCCTGCTGGAGGCCCCTCTGCCGGCGGTGGCGGTGACGGACGCCTGGCTGGGTGCCCCGTTCGCGGCGTTCCACATCGCGGCCGGGTCCTTCGACACGGCCATGGCCCTGCTGCGCGACCGGTTCGGCATCACGGACTTCCAGCCGCTGCGCCCGCTCTTCCGGACCATCTACCAGGCCTCCTACTTCCAGGTGCCCACCATCCCCGGGTACCCGGCCCTGGTGGCGCCGCTGCATGACCTGCACTCGGGCGGGGACCACGGCCCGGCGGCGCCGCTGCAGCTGGCCGCCTTCTCGGTGGCCGGGCTCAACCGCCAGGTCAATGACACCCTGGAGCTGGTGACGGCCGGGCACTTTGGCCGGGCGCTGGATGACTTCCGTGGGATCCTGCATGCGGCGCTCTTCATGACGCCCCACTCGCTGGCCGACCGGGCGGCCGGCCTGGCGGACTTCAGCCTGGTGGATGCGGCCCAGGCCCGGACCATTGCCCTGTGCCAGGCGTACATCCTGGCCCTGTCGATTGAGTTGACGCGCAAGGCCCTGGACGCCGCCCTGGAAGACCGCCGCGCCGAGCTGGCCGTGCACTTTGTCTATGCCGGTGGGTGCTACATGCTTGCCAACCACATGGCCCTGGGGCTGAACTCCGCCATGCTGAGCACCTTCCGGGCCAAGTGCTTCGGCACCTGCTCGCAGATTGCCAGTGTCCTGCTGTCGCCGATGTTCCCCAACCTGGCCCCGGCGCATGAGGCCACCGCGCAGAAGGTCCTGGCGGCTGCCCGGCAGAAGGGCAACCGCAACCTGGTGAAGATCGAGGTGGCGGTGCCCGGCGCCCCGGGCACGCCGCTGCCCACCGAGGCGCCGGTGCCCCTGTGCGCCGCGGACTTTGTCCTGCTCCCGCCGTCGGCCAAGCCGGCCAGCTGGTGCGTATTCCCCGGGGTCGCCCGGGTGCTTGTGCTTGTGTGCACCGGCTTCTGCGCCTTTGTCAGGGGAGATGCCGGCCACATGTGTGCCCGTATATCCGCTCCGTGTGATGTTCCTTGCCCTGCTTTCCTGCCGCCGGTCTAACCACTGCCCCCTCCCCCCCCCCCCCCCCCCCCCCCCTTTGACAGCCCCCTGTGTCGGTCGCAGTACAACCCCCAGCATGCCGGCACCACCTGCCGTGTGTGCCAGTTGGCTCAGATTCTGTGAGAGACAGACGGATGAGGGGATCACTCGCCGTGCGCGCGCGCGCACACACACACACACACATTTGCAACGGGCATCACATCCCCTCTGGATGGGCCTCCTGCGGCCCTGCTTGTGCCCGTGTGTGCGTTCCTCTGTCATTTCCCCCTCCCCTTCGCCCGGCTCCTGTCCCGGTCTATGCGCGTGCTGCTACTCTCTTTCTCTTTCTCTCTCTCCCCTCCCCCCCCCCTTTGCGCGTATCTCCACCCTCCTCCCCATGGGAGTGAACGGGCCCCAGGGGCGCGCTACATTTTCAAGACACCATAAACCCCCCAAGCTGTGGTCCCCCACGCGGGTGACAAATACACAACAACACCCAGAAACCCATGCGCGCATCTGCACACACACACACACACACACACACACACACACACACACACACACGGCAGGAGGAGGGGCTGCCCCAGAGAGGTGCAAGGAGACACGAGGGAAGGTATATTCGCGGGATTCGGCGAGAGGCCAGGTGGGCAGGGCAGGGCGCGCGCCGGTCGAGTCTATATGAAGAAGGGGGAGAACCCAGCTGTACACTGGACGCGGCCCGGAGAGAAAGGCACGGGGGGAAGGAGGAGAAGACATGAAAAGAACGCGCGCACAGCGCCCAAGAGCTCTTTTCCCTCCCTGGCAGGCAGGTAGAATGGCGCGGTCACTTCGCCCGGCCAGCCGGGGTGTCCTCGGGAGACACGACGGCCGGCGTGGACGCCTCCTCGATCGGGGCATTCGGGTCGACCTTCGTCCGGACAACCACCTGGTAGGACATGCGGCCATCGTTGTAGCGCGTGGTGGTGACCTTGGTCCGGGAGCCGTTGACATCCTCGTAGACGGTCTCCACCTGGGGCTCGACCGGGGCGCCGGTGTGACCCGATGACTGGGGGCGGTGCTCCGGAGGGGGGGGCATCCACCAGGGAGAGCCGGTGGTGGCGGCCATGGCCTGCTGCTGCTGCTGCTGCTGCTCGGCCTCCTCACCGAGGTAGGGGAATTCGTAGAGCGACGATTCGGCCGGGACCGGGGGCGGAGGCGACACCACCGGGCCCCAGGGCGAGGGGAAGGGCAAATTCCCGAGGATGGTGTCCTGGAGCTGGCCCAGCAGATCGGCCGCCAGTTGGTCGTAGCCGCGCGGCCGGCGGTGCCCCTGCTCGGAGGCCGCCTCGTCGGAGGCGCCATCCAGCAGCGGGGGCGGGGCCCCGGGCCCGGGCCCGAAGAGGCCCCCCGGCAGCAGGAGATCCTCGAGGGCCTGGCGCTGGGAGAGGATCCGGTCGAGCATGGAGCGCGGCCCATCGCGCAGGAGATCGAACGGGCCGGCCCAGACCCCGGCCGCCGGGTGGCCGCCATATGCCGGCCCGTGGAAGTGGTGCGGGTGCCCGGCGAACCGGGTCACCGTGACCAGTGGCCGCCAGGCGTGCAGCTCCTGGAAGTACCAGGCGCGCAGGGCCCGGAGCTCCTCGTCGACGGCAAAGGCAAAGCGATCAGCACTGACGCCCGGCACATTCGGCGCCATGATGGCCCGATGGAGGGACAGGTGCATCAGCTGGGCCTGCTGCGCGGGGGACATCTCATGCGCATGCCGCGGGAGGGCCGAGAAGTCCGGCTCCCGGGGGGGGCGCGAGCCGAGGGAGGGAAGCATGGTCGAGCAGGCGCGGCACCAAAACAAGGAAGGAGGGAGGGGGGGGGGGCTTGCAGGC